ATGTTCTTTGTAATACATCTTAATTTTTGTTGATCAATAATTAAGTAATTACGAATTTTTTTGATGAAATGGTAACAATACTATATATAACTCATCTATTTTTATTGTTATTATTATTGTTGTTATAGAGCACATATTTGATTTTTTTTTTGGTGTTTTCTTGATTTTGATTGGTAAGTTCTAATTAGAAAAAATCTACTTTAGTAATTATTGCACGTTTAAGAGAGAAGTCAGAAGAAAAAGTTAAAGAGAAAATTTTTTTGAGGTATATTTATTTATTTGTTAGAAGTTGGAGTAATATCTAAAAATAAATTTGATAATTGTATCATGATGACACATATTGAAGAGAAAAGATTAGAGAGAATTTTGATATTTTTATAAGAATATTTTGTATTTTTGTATTTTTTATGTATTTTATAAGAAAAAAGAAAATAAAAAAGAAGATTAATATAAAATCTATAATAAAATATAGTAAAGAAAGTGATTTTGTTAGTAAAGAAAATTAGTTAATTAATGATTTATATAGTTTTTGTAAAATATAATCACTTTGCACTTTTGTCAAATTTTGAAAAAAAATGATCAGTGAGTAGAGTTTCTAGCTTGATTTAATTATTCTTATTATTATAATTGTTATTATTAATATTATTGTTGTTATTATTATTATACTAATTATTATTTCTATTAAGATATTTATTTATAATATTATTATTATTCTCATCAAAAATTTCGTAATTAATCAACAAAAAATTAAGATGTATTACAAAGAATATTAATATTATATTATGTAACTCAATGATAATTAAATTAATTTGTCTCTTTATTTTTATATTGTATCTCATTATATGATTATATTTAGTATGGTGCTAGAAATCTATAATCACCAATCACGTGATAAAAAAATAAGATATCTTTAAAATCCTACTCTACTTTACACAGAGATAATTTCGAAAAAATAAACTGATAAATTTGTAATTTGAGATACACCCTATAAAGTTATCAGTTTAGTTTTTTAAAAATTTTTTCTTGTAAAAAGTTTTAGTGGTTTAAAGTTAACCATTTTTTATATGTATATTTGAAATTGAAACAAATCATGTGAAAATTTGATTGGTTAATATTTATTGTCCAGCACTGACGTTTATTCAGTTTCTAAAAGCCGTTTCAAATTGTCAATGTTTTAGCCTATTTTCCCAGGGATTTAATGAGTTTTGGCAATGAACAGCAATTAAACAAGACTTAGAACAGGTGAAATACGATTATGTGTCTAGCAACATGACGTTTTCGCAAAAAAATTTTAAAGCAAGCCGAGGTTATTTTGGATCCAAATGTAAATTTAATAGGAATTATTTTTGGTTGATCATTCATAAGTCTCTTCCTTCAGAGGATGTTTCAAGTTGCTCGGGGATCAGTAAGTCACTATAACCTTGAAAATCAACACGATATTGATATTGTACTATATATATGTAATTAGTAACTGATTTTTTTCTTTTTGTACCGAAAACTCAACGCGTTGAGGGGATTCGCGGAAATTTGATCATATGTATCTAGCCGTGACACTGTAGTGATGTTGACTAAGTCAATTAGAGTAGATCCTTAGTAAATTACCATCATAACGATTATAATGATTTTAATAAATCGTGTATTAGATTTAGTATTTTATTTTTAGGAATTGCTTCTTCGCTTTAATAAAATGTAATCCATGTGTCGAATTCAAAGTGTTTATATAGAAAGAACTTAAAGTACTAAGTACGAATTATATAATATTGACTCATTATCATCAGTACACCAATATCTCATGCACGTAATATAATTGTTCGATCTCCTGAATTACCATCTTCGATTAGCTTGAGCTTGACATGTTCGTTAATGAATGTTTGAATGATACAGGCCCAATACTAAATTTACTATATAAATGAATATGTTTTCGTTAATTTAATTAAGGTAGGGTCTTATAATGGGCAAATAAGTCCTATATAATCAAGGATCTGGATAATATTAAAAATTATTTCTATTTATATCATAACTTACCGAGACCCAGATAAACAAAAAATCTTACCTTATCATGCCGCGTCCTAATAAAAAAAACAATATGTAAATAACTTACCTAGAAAGCTAGGTCATTTTGCATTTCAAGAAGAAATCACTGATATACATAAAGAAACCGTGATGCAAATACAAGCTACTAGAATGCAGGAAGAGACTGTTGAGACAAAATGCGTTAGAGGATCATATACTGGAATGTCAAGAACAACAATCTGGAGAAAAAAAGAAAACAAGTTGATGAGTTATTAAATGTTGAAGCATCAGCTACTTTGTCGCAACAATTCTCATCTAATGTTACTGTAACACAATTATCACAATCATCTTCAGCAATGCTATCAACCAACACTTTATCATTGATATCACGATCATCTCCATTGACACAAATATCTCCTTCCATGACTATATATAACTCACCAACATCCATTGAAATTGCGACAAAACCACAAATGCGTTTGGACCCATCCAATGATACCGCAACACCATCATCACAACCATCTTCAGCAATGTTGTTAATTGATACTTTATCACGACCGTCTCTATTAATACCATCCGTTGACATCATAGTACGAACATCTCCAATAGTGACACATAACTCAAAATCATCTGCTGAAACCACTGCAAAACTACAAAAGCGTTTGGAAGAAGTTAACTGGCAATGCTCAATTACAAAATCTTCAAAAATTAGCATACCTACATATGATTATTTGCATCTTCTGAGCATAAGTAGGTTTATTAAGTTATTGTTAGATGGAAAGGGTAAGATGGATGCCAGCACTCATATTGCACAAACAATATGGAGTAAAGGAGATTATCTGACAAAATGTATTAGAAAATGGAGAGACCATTACGTACAAACAGAGGAACTTCTTGTTGATCGTCAGGGAAAGCATATGAAACTGAAGAGCTTGATTGAAAATAAAGATTTTTCTGAGGATTGTCGAGCTTGGCTACATCAGCAAACATCAGAGTCACGTTCTCCCAGAGTCTTAAAGATGTATATCGAAGAGATGATATTCTCCAAAGTGATAGGATGCATTAAAAAAAATACCATCTCTGAAAGAACATGCCGAACCTACATGCACCTATGGGGATATAGATATGATGAAAAAAAAAGGTGTTTATTACGATGAACACGAGCGATCAGATGTGGTGATCTATAGAAGAGAATGGCTGAGTAAAATGTTTATGTATAAGAGATACATGAAAAGCTTCGATGATAATATGTTGGATATTGTATTGGAACCCCAGCTCAATCCTGGAGAAAATGAATTCGTGCAAGTAATGCATGACGAATGCCATTTTTACGCAAATGATGGACAACGGAGAATCTGGATCAAAAAAAATGAAGATATCCTACGCTCAAAACACATGAGATATTCCATTATGGTTTCAGCCTTTCTTTGCCCATGTCACGGATTATTATGGCTATCTGACGAGCAGATGCAGGCGAATTCACATATAGAATACAAGGAGGCATTCATTCTTCGTTCTATACAGTCAGATGGATACTGAAAATCAGAACATATGTTAGATCAACTTATGCAGAGAGCAATCCTGATATTTGAGGTATTGCATTCAAAATGCGTTTGTGTTTTCTGTTTCGACCAATCAACGAATCACAACACCATGGTAGCAGATGCATTGATTGCGACAAGAATGAACCTGAGTTCTGGAGGAGGACAACCTAAAATGTGTAATGAATGGTACATTAATGAACATGGAGAGAAATGCGATCAATTAATGATATTCCCAGATAATTACCCGGTGGTGAGGCTGAGAGGACAACCAAAAGGAATCAAACAAATACTTGAAGAGCATAACCTATGGCCAGCAAAAAAAATTCGTTTAGTATGTGAACGGTGCTCAGAGAAAAATGATGATAATTCAGAAATTTCGAACTGCTGTGCACGACAAATCATGTCACGGCAACCTGATTTTTGTGAACAACTATCGATGCTTGAGGAGGCAGTTACTGAAGCAGGACATATTTTTGAACGTTATTCCAAGTTTCATTGCGAATGCAATTTTATAGAGAGATACTGGGGTTATGTGAAATGAGAGACAAGAAAAGTATGTAACTATAATTACGCGAACTTATTACAGCAAGTTCCAAAGGCTCTTGTTAATGTTCCTGTGACAACAATTTGCAAATTCGCTCGCAAATCTTGGAGGTATATGAATACATATAATAAAGGATTGGAAGGTAGAACTGCTGAGTGGGCCGTCAACAAGTACAAGTCTCATCATCGTTTGCCTGAAAACATTGAAAGAGAAATGAATTTAGATGGAGAGTAATTAGTATTTATAACTTTATATGTATGCATAGATAATATATTTAATCATTGCAATATTATTGATCAATCGCAATTATGCGGAAAATTGAAACAATTCATGTGATTGGTGATTATAGATTTCTGGCACCATATATATCATTATTTTTTTGATATCTAGATTGTAATACCTAAATATTAATCACATTTTTGTATACTTTTTGTTTTATTTTCTTTTATTATTGCACTAAAATTATTTATTCTTGTATTTTCATTATAAAACTTATATTTTTATTATTAGTTTATCTTATCTATATCTCTATCACATTTATTTTTATCTTTTTATTTCATTATTTTAATCAATTATTCATATATTTATTTTATTTTCTTTTCATTTTTATTATAATTATTCTTTTTATCTTATAACTTCTTTGTTATAATTATCTATAATTATATTTATACTATTATTTTCTTTCTATATAATACTTCTTTTTACTCAAACTCTTGCTTTTTCTTATATTCAACTATTAAAATTACAACTAATTTTCTTTTGTATTTTCTTGTTAATAAATTTGTGTAATTTTTTAATGTTTATATTTCTTTTGTATTGTTAATATTATATGTAAATTGTGATATAGTTTAGAATAGTCATTAATTATATAAATCATGTAAAAGATTGAAAATATATAAAAGAAGAGTCTCTTATTGCTAGAAACTCTCATGCTCTAATTTTTTTATCTAATAAATAACAAAGTTTTTACTAATAATATTTTACTTGTAAATATATTATTATTTTTGTAAATTATCTTCAAATCTTGAAATTACAAGTAGTGGATGCTTCTTCACTCTAAATAAGTTATTAATATTATTACTTTTGTTTTATTACTTTTAGATAGTTTCAATAAGTCCTATTTGATTATTTTTAGTTATATTTATTTATATTTCATAATTGGTACTCTTGATAAGTTTAATTATTAATTTATTTTATTAGATATCTTTAATAAGTTCTGTTATTTACTTTGAAATTATTTGTTAATTTCTTTAATTCTTTTTATCTTTTTACTTTATTTTTCTATTCATTTTTATTATTTATTGATAATATTTAGTTAGTTTGCATACAAGCTACCATAAGAAATCTTTAGAATTTTTAGTAAACTTTATTAATTGTAATTTATTCAGTCTTTGTTCTTTTACTGTTATGTTACTTTGTTAATTCATTAATTTCAACAATTTTTGAATTAACGAGAACAGTATTTTATTGTGAATGATATTTTGTTAATATAGTTTAGAATTTGATTTTTGGTGATAAGTTCTTTACAAAAGTGTATAGCAGAAAGATATATTGTAATGATGTCCAATTCATAATTATATGTAAATGCTAATTTAGTATGTATCAATCTGTCTTGAAATATGTGAGATTTTTGTATATGATGAGCTAACTGTTTGTTGAGTAAGAGATTGAGATCTGATCTGAAAGCTCTTTTATTATTGCATGTTCAAATATGATGATAATTATGAGATTGAAAAAAGGTGAATTTAGCTAATTGTTGAAGAAGTTTGGTTTTTGTGATGGCGAGAAAGTCAATATTGAAGAGATTGAATAAAGTTAAAATGTTGTCTTATTTGTTGTTTTGCCTGAGACCACGTGCATTGATTGTAGCGAAACACCAAGCAGATGGTGATTTAAGTCCAATAGAAATATCTAAAATAGAAGAATTAATTATGGGAGAAATATTTTGTTGGTTGGTGAAGTTATATAATTTATTATTTGAATTGGATGTTAAATGAAGATTTATATTGAATGATATGTGAATTCTAGTTTAAATATTGAAAGATTGGGATAATAATTTGATGTGATCAGTATTTAAATCTAATTGGTTATCATTGTCAAATGTGATCAAATCTTCCATTGAAAGCAGTGGGAATAATAGTTAATTTAATTTGAATGATTTTGAATAATTTGATTTATTTGTGAAGGATGAGTTATTAATGTATATGAGTGATGAATTAATTGTTGGATTTGGTTAAATTGGTTAAGATATGTTTGAGTTATTGTTGTAATTCATTAGAAAAATATATTTCAATTTGGTTTAGACGTTCTTGTAAAGATTTTTGTTCATTTTATAGAGATTGTAAGTTAAATATGAGATTCTGATTAAGAGATTTGAGGTTGTTGATTTCTTTGTTTTTTTCAGCTATAGTATTTTGAAGAGATGAGTTCGTAGAAGGCTAAAAGTTTGTGTTATTTATGTCTGGTGATACAGGTATTATAAGAGTGATGAATGCAGTAAGTGGCTCAAATGTTGGTGATTTAGAATGGGTTAATGGTTGAGAATCATTGAAGATTAGCATAATGAAAATCTATTTTTGATTGTTAATAATTGTATCAAGTTTTTGTTTTTATTGAATTTAATTTGTTTTCTAACAGGTTGAGTTTTTTTTAAGTTTCTAAGTCTTGTTTGAGTGTGAGAATTTCATGTGAGTATTTTTTGAGAGTTGGATTTGATGAAGATTCAGATATATTTGTTGTTGGGTTATCAATAGATTTGAATTTGTCTTTGTTAATTATGTTAGATTGAAGTAAGACTTTTTCATAATTAAAAGTTGATGAAGTGATTATAGGTTTACAATAAGAAATATCACAGTTTTCATAAAGCTTATTTATCTGTTGGTATTGTTATTCCAGTTCTTTTAATAGTATTTATATAACAGAAAGTCTTTAACAGATCTCTTCTTATAGTTATAAGAGAAGATAGTAGATCAAGTTAAGTTTATTATTAAGAAAGTTATATGTTATAATTATGATAGGTTCAAGATAATTTTATTAACAAAATTTCTTTATTACTATATTTTTCACTATTGCTGACTCTGTTAGTGCTCTGCACATAGACTATACAAGTATATAATATAAGAATAACAATATTATATAAACTATTCCAAGTCTATAATCAAAACTATACTAAAAATCAAAGAATAATTATAAGGTATGTAATAAGTGAATTTATTATTAAAAACTTGTTAACTTCTTATGATAATTCTTGCTAACTAATAACTTGTAATATAAATTGTCTTTTTGCTATCAAATAGAGTGCTACTTATATATAAAATTGATTATTGCAAAGATCTCTAAATATTTGTAACACTAAATAAGCAAAATCTTTATATCTCTAATGATCAACAGTTCAAAATATCAAAGGTTCAATATATCTATCACATTGATATACAATACATATAAACAATAAGTTCAAAAATAACTAATCAATAAAATTAAAAATAAATATTGTTCAATAAAATATACTATACAAAGTGTTCAATAAAAATAAACTAAGAAATTATTCAATAAAAATATAACAAACAAAATTAACTATAACAATATTAATATGCTTTTTTGTTTTTAGATGTGCATATAATTGTACTATGATTGGGATTAAAGCAGATTCTACATATTTTTACAGTTGGTGATTTTCAATAGAGCTTTGAGTTGCAGAAAGTAAAGTATTGTTGCATAACTGTTATCATATTAATTTCATTTTCAAAGAGATTAAAGTGAAGCATTATCAAATGTAGTGAATGAGAGAATGAGGAATAAAGCAAGATTTGGCTTTGATATTTTGTAAAAAATTATCAAGCTCGAAGACTGTTGTTTTATAAGGAAGATTAAGGAGTTTTGCTATGTAGGTATCTCTTTTTTTGATTGTTTTGAATTGATTGATTATTGGAAGGATGCAAACATGATTAGCATCCAAAAGAATAGATCATTCATTAATAGCTATTTCTGCTTGTTCTGATAATTTGAATTGAATTTTGGTATAAGCCTATTTGAATATGATTTTTTGTGTTATATTGGTAATTTTCTCATTATGTGTTGAATCTGATCTTTAGATATTCTGAGAAAAACATCTTTCAATGTTGCAATTGTTATTGAATTGATCAGATTAAGAGATTATGATTTTATATCAGAGATGTAATTATTATTTAATAAGATATTTAAAGCTAATTGGAGGGATTTGTCTGATGTGAATTCAGTAAAAATATAATTTGTTAGATCAAGAGAAAATAATTTAGCTCTTAAAAAGTCTGAATTATGTTGAAAGATGCTGTTGATATATTTGATATTGTCTTTAGTGTTGTTTTCAGAAAGTGATTATTTCTTGATTCATTCTCTAAATTATTTAGTGCTATATATAGTAATCCATTAATCATCAGCAGAATCAGGAGATATAATTTTTGGGGTTGTAGTATGAGCTGATGAGGTTGAATTAATTATATATTTATCATATAATATAGAAAGAGAAACATGTAAGTAAATAAGAAAGAATTTGCTTCAAAATCAGCTGATTGAGATAAGGTTATATGTGCATTGTCTGCTTGAATCATGTTGTGTGTGCATTGGCTTGAATCATGTTGTTTGTTTGTTTTATATTGATTGATTCCATTTTATTTATATGATCAATTTTTGCTTTTTTAGTATGATTAGCTTGTAATTATATATTATAGATTATTTGCTGGGAAAATTAGAGATCAGATGAATTATTTAATGTATTGATAGGAATTTGCTTGTTAGTATTATTTGAAGACAAGAAAAATAGATCTAAAAAATTTTGTACAGTAGTGTATATAAGTAAAGAAGAAGAAGAATTAGTAGTTTTTTTGTGTTTGGTATTGTTAGTAGTCATGATGATGAAGTATTAGAGAGGAGTATCATAAATATATATATTTTTGTGTGTTTTTGAATTTTTTGTTATTTTTGTTTTTATATAATTTTGAGAAAAAGAGAAGAATAAAAAGAATTGAAAAGTTATATTTGCATTAAGAAATAATAATAAAAAAGAAAAGTATAAGATGAATAAAGATTTTTTGTTAGTAGAATTTGTATTTTGTATAATGACTTTGTTGTGTTGAGAAGAAATTTTTGTGCTTGGTAAAGTATAGCTCTATCCAGTTGAGAAATCAACAGGAAAAAGATGCAAAAAAAGTATAATTTATAATATTTAATAATAATTAAAGTATTTTTGTTTTTATATTTATTAAATTTTATTATAAATTTTATATATAATCAAATTTCTTTATAGTTATCATTTTCAAAAAAACAAAATTGAATGAATATAGAAAAAATATAATTATAAAGAGATTTTTTTACTATATTTATATATAAATAAAAAAAACAAAATAAAGTGATTATAAAGAAATATGACTATAAATATAAAGAAATTTAACTATAATTCTTTGAATATTTATAATTAATAATAACTATTATATATCAATTTATAGCTCTTATTTCTGATTATAATATTATTTAGAATTATAGTTTATAATTATTATTAAAAAATAAATATTTACTATAATATAAATAAAATGAATTAAAATTATAAATAATTAAAAATATTAATATTTATTCTAAATATTAATTATTTTATATTAATTTGTAGTTTTAATTATAATCTACAAGTTTACTTAAAATATTATCAAATATTTACTTGAACTTAAATCAAATTTTTAATCAAATTTGAGTCAAATTTGAAGTTTGAACTAAACTTGAACCAGACTTTTAATTGAATTCAAATTTTAAACTGAACTTTTAATCAAATTTGAGTTAAATTCAAGCTTGAACCAAACTAAACTTGAATTTTTTTGAAATTCTACTTTAAATTAACAAAATATTAAAAATTTAATAATTAAAATGAAATTCAAAGAATTTACTAATATACTTATTATATTAATTAAGTTAAATTTTATTTATTATTGAGAAATATAAAAGTTGTAATTAAATTTCAAAAAAAATTTTATATAATATATTTTGATTATATAATATAAAATAATTAAATATAGTCAAATTTCTTTATAATCACACTCATTTATAGTCACATTTATTTATAGTTATCTTGTTTTACTTTTTTATTTACATATATATATATATAAATATAGTAAAAAATTTTTTTATAATTATATCTTTTTTATAATTAACAAATTTTATTTTTCTGAAAGTAATAAGTATAGAGATTTAATTATATAATAAAAACCAAAAAATTAATTAGCAAAAAGAAAAAGTTAGATTTATGCTTTTATAAATAAATATAATTATATAGAATATATTAAATTTTTAATAAATTCAAAAAAATAAATATATTATTTTTCAAGTTGACTATTAAGTCTCATATAAATATTTAATATATTAATAAGTTGAGTTTTTTAATAAAGCAAAAAAATGAATTAAAAATAATATAATATTAAGTTTGTATAATATAGAAATATATTATTAACTTTATAAAAAATAATTATTATTTCTGAAATATATATAAAAAATTAAATATATTATTAAATTTTTATATAAAATATATATATAAAAAATAAATAAAGAGTATTTAAAATTCTTTATTACTTGAAAAACAATTATATTTAAATTATAAAATTTCTCAAGTTTATAACTATAATTAAAATTATTATTTAAAACAAATTAAAAATAATTCAAATTTTTGTGATAAATATAAATTATGAAAAATATAAAATATTAATAATATATTTGTATTTTGTACTTGTAATAATATATAAAAAACTTTAGATAATTCAAAAAATAAAATCACAAGTCAAAGTATTGCTAATATTCTTTATTAAACTTTAACAAAAAAAATTAAAATTAATTTTTTGTTTTTATAAACAAGAATATAAAAGAAATATTAATAATAAGTAAAATATAATTATAAATTACAAATATTTAATTTTGTTATTAATAAAAAAAATTAAAAACAATAACTTATACAATAATTAAAATTTTAGAAGCTTATCAAAAATTTGACTTTATTAATTTATCTTAAATTTTAAGTATTAATACTAATATAATTTGCTCAGATAAATTTATAAAAGAACTTTTTAATATTATAAAATATATTAATATATATTTATTTTAACTTGAAAAAAATATATTATTATTATACTAAAAAAATATATATTAATTTTATCATTTAAAAAATTTTATGAGATTGTAAAATTATTTATAAATAAATTAATATAATAAAAAAGATTGAAAACTTTTTGCATACTTTTTATATATTACAACTATTTTCTTTAGTTCATATAATTATAATTATAGAAAGTTATTAATAAATTTAAAATATAATTACAAATATAATTATAATAAATTATATTTAGATTAACTTATTTATATTTTGGTTAAATAACTTATATCTAATTTTGAAATCAAGTTAATTTATTATAATAATTATAAGTTTTCTTTATAATAATAATTATTTAAAAAAATTAAATCAAATTGGTAATAACAAAAATTAAAATAGAAAAAAATATCATATTGATATAAATAATTAAATTTATTTTTGTTCAGCATATATAAATAATCAGTATTTTCTTTGTAAGTATTTTTCTATTCAAAAAAATAATACAAATAACTCTCATTATAGTAAAAACTAATTAAATTCTTGATATAGTAAAGTCTATCCAAAACCAATCTATAATAAATTCTCTTATTATAATAAATATACTAATAAACTTTCAATAGTAAATTTTTAAAGATTTTTTACTAATAATACAAATATCTTTACTATAACGGAATTACTTGTAATTAGTTTTGATTAATCTCTTGTAATAATATTTATTTTTTTTCACTTTCAACAAAAATAAATCATCACTAATTAATTAAAAAAAATAATTCTTAAATAAACATAATGAATATTAATCTTATTAAAAAAGTGCTATTTTAATAATTATTCAAAATAATTAATAAAAAAGATAAGATCAGCTTAAAAATACAAAAAGCTATTTGATAATGCATTAATATTGTATAAGTAAGAATTAAATACTAATACTTTTTGTAAAAACTTTAATATATTAGTAAGATCATTAAAAAAGCAGTTAACAAGTATTGTGAGCTTGTAATTAACAGAATACTTAAAAAAAAGTTTGCTTTTTAATTATATTGAATATTATAATAAAGTAAAAATTTCTTGTAAAATGAAATTATTTTATATTTTTTTAAGAGTAATAAAAAACAATAATATTATTAATAATTAAAAATTATCTTAATCATATTGTAGTATTGTATTACATTATATATTAATCATTTGCCTCATATAATTTTGTATATTTCATAAATTTTCACATGATTATAAATTATGTATTTATATATTTTTCTTAATTATGACTAGACCAGGCAGGTTACTTTGATATAATTGCAGCTAGTTGTAGTATTTATATTATAATTATTTTTAAAAAATACAACTATTATAATATATCATTTTTAATATCAAAAATATAGTTATCTTTGTCTTTGTACTAACATGACAAATTATTGCCTTCTTATTTTGTATTAGGTTAATTCTAAATATGTCAAAGTATTAGCGATGGTTAAAAATTTCATGGCGTTAATAAAAAGTTTTCCTTGTAGCAGGTTTAACTTCGTATAATATCCCCTCTCCCTTATCATTTAAATAACGTTGGTTTTGATTTTGAGATTCACAATTATTCTGAGATCAAGCTTAAATATAAACAATCTTACAGTATCGGTAAAAAAAGATAAAGATACTTGGTAATCAACGAAAATAATGAATAAAGTCAACTTTTTATTAATACGAAGACCTTTTATGTAATAATAAACTTGTTTACCGTGCTAAATTCTATACCATGGTAAAATTTTGTGATATTTCAGATGCAAATGATTATTTCACAAACTTCGAAACATAGACCAAATTTTCATGAACTTTGAACGAAAAATTGGCCACCGATTTTTCATATCCGCCATTGAAATTCTATAAAATTTTTCCGAGATGATACACACCCCTACATACGTATATTACCGAAAATTTCAAAAATGAATTTATCACTTTGGAACCCGATATATCGACATCTGGTGAACCCGTCCGAACAAAAATATCACCATTAGATTCGTCTCGACTATACGAATCTAATGGTGATATTTTTGTTCGGACGGGTTCACCAGATGTCGATATATCGGGTTCCAAAGTGACAAATTCATTTTTGAAATTTTCGGTAATATATGTAGGGGTGTGTACAAAACAGGCATTTGTGGCTATAGCTCTAATGCTTTCTTACTTTTAATCCAGATGGGATGCTAATGGTTTGACATTTATGAAACTTGATCTTGACTAATAGTTTGCTTATAAAATCTTACCCCGTTTGTTATCAACCCCGATAATATCAACACCCCGTTGTTAGCAGAACAGATGTCATAAACCCTCGTAGTTATCTACCCTCGTATACATCAACAAAATAGCCCGATCCCATGATGTTAATGAAGACGAGAGACGACTGTAGTTCAGAGCAGTTTGGTAACCATTACCAACTATAAGCAAACCATTAGTAAAGGTGGAAGTTTGCCAAGTTTCACAAATGTCAAACCATTAGCATATTTATTCTTTTTACCAGCCAGTGTTGGTTTGTGTATGTGACTCAATAAACTGGAAAAGTGCAATATTTATGCGACGTAAAAAATATTCGAGACCAATTCGGGATTGACCGATATTATTACGCGAATTTGTAAGAAACTCGAGTTATCTGTCAAAATCCTTTACAACGGGCGCCGTATACACTGAACTCGGTTTTCATCGAAGCAAAATTAATGCCCGATTTTCGATTATATAAAAATGCGAAGTTTACTAATACAATCAACTCTACACCGACTGTGATCTAATGGTTAAAATTAATACCCAACAAATAACGTGATCCTTTAAATTTCTTGCAATTGTGTCACTTACAATAATGTGGCAACCTATTTTATTTTGAATGTCAGTATATTTCGTATATTTCGTATATGTCATGTAATGACTATCAGCTTACACTGAAGATCGTAGTGGCTATTTATAACGGGATCTCATTATACTGACCAAAAGTGTTAGTTTGACTGTATATCTAATTCAAAAAACAGATCGTACACCGTAAAGTATACACAATTTTCTTGCTTAATAATTTTAAAATAAATAATTTAAAACAGCCACACTCCCCTAAAGTCGTGAATTTATGGCGCCAGTTCCAGGAGAAGCGTGATTATATTACAAAATTAACCTATATGCAGTTATAATTCTCTTAATGCATACTCTTGGGACTGGCGCGAGAAAATGCATTTGAATAGTATGCATTTAGGGAATATTTGGTTGATTTTTTTCTTGCAAAGAATTATATGTTTCAGGATAGCAATAGTTTCAGAGTTAAATTTGATAAATGTTTTTACGGCTTGCAGATAATTATTAGTATTTTTTAAATCCAATTCGATAATACTGTTAAGAATCCAAAAATTAGAAAAGAAATTGGCTCAAAAATTCGGTTTCGGATATAAATATTTTGCAAATAATATCCCAAAATACAGTTTCGCGGTATAATACATTAATGTCAACGATAATAATAAGGGGAATTCTTATGCAAATGTCATAACGAGGGAATTTTTATGATCACACATGTACATGTACCGAGTATGACATCAATAATCGGAATGTATTGTAATGCGAATTTATTATACACAACTCAAAATAAAAATACGACATAAAGGCCAAAGTTGTCATTAAAAATAATTTAGGCGTGAGAAACCATCGCTTCTGGAATTAGATTTAAACACCTGCATAGATAATAGCGTTCATGTTTAAAGATGCATTACTGAAATAATATAAAGGATGTTATACCTTGTTTTCCCCAGGTAGCAACTATATTTCGCCCCCGCTCGAATCGTTTACTGATTAAACGCGCGTGTTCACTAAACAACAAAATATGCCTTACTGTGACGTATAGAATCCTTTATTGTTTGAATTCTCGTGGGAGGTAGCGAATAAAGGTACGAATGTTTTGGTTGTCATAATTTGCAAGTGCCCGTATACGCGGGATGAGTGTGGTTGGACGTTCGCCCTGATAAAATATTCACTGACACCAAGCCTGACTCGAATGAGCTTTTTGAAACTTTTCAACTTTAAGTGAATAAAGTACCTACCAAAAGTTTACGTCCACGATAAACCGAAATCACATACACAGATTTTTGAAAGAATGAAACCCCAATTTTAAAAAAATCCGGAAGTGACACCTTTGAACGTGTTTCTACAAAGATAACTCTTAAGATTTGAGCAATAAATTAAACGTAGAATTAGAAAAGAAACTTCACCAGAATTTGAAAAGATCTCGAATGGAAAAAAATTACTTCTGATTATATAACAAACTCATTAAAATTAAGCGGAGTTGATGGCTCACAAAATATTAAATCTCAAAATAGCAATCACACTATATTTGTATTTATATATCAAACGTGAACTTTTGGTGGGGGTCTGAAAAATGATGTTTAAAGTTTAGCTTGTCAGTGTTGAATTTTCTTAATTTCTTTATATTTATTCGTAAAGTGAATTTCAGTTGATATTTATGATTCGGACGTATATCTTAATAGTTGGTGAAATTTATACCGTAATAAAAAGCAAAGCACCATGTCAAGAATACGGCAACCAATATACCCTGGTCGGACCTCTTATCCAAAACTGTATAGATGGAGATAAAGTGCGAAGAACCGACTCTTCATGTTCGACAAGTTTTAGAAAGTATGGGTAGTAAAGGTGTAAACTACATGTGTGGTCGATAGAAGGAACTCCACATGTAATTTTATTCGATACACAATCAGTGATTGATAAATTTGATGAATGGAAAATAGATATATCGAATGCTGCTAATATTCCGTGGTCAAGATTCTGAAGTCACTGATGTTATTCTATTTGGATATATAATTGCATGGTTCTTGGGAGAAGTAATTAATTAGCATCTTGTTATTTCATTTAGCATTTATTGATTCTTACGCTCTAATAGTTATCTCAACGAGAGCGATACAAAGCTATTATTGCGCATTTTCACGAATGGATATCTAGTCTTGCTGTCCCACTTATCCGAAAACGTCATATAGATGTTATCACTATTTTCACAACTCATGCTACCTTACTCGGTCGTTACCTTTGCGCTAACTCTGTCGATTTCTACAATAATATTCAAAACTTCACAATAGATGAGGAGGCAAAGAAACTAGGAATTTACCACCGACACTGTATTGAACGCGCCGTTACGCATTCATCTGATGTTTTCATTACTGTGAGTGAAATAACTGCTTATGAAGCCGAACATTTGCTTAAACGGAAACCTGGTTTGTATTCGAGTTTTGATTTTTTAGGATTAATTGAATCGATTAATGTAATAATATGTGTTTCTTTAGATAACATCCTTCCAAATGGACTTTATATCAACAAATCCTCAGCAATGCATAACTTTCAGAAGCTGCACGAAATTAATAAACAAAAGATTCATGACTTTGTTCGTGGACATTTCTATGGTTATTACGATTTTAACCTGGACAATACTTTATATTTCTTTACTGCTGGTCGATATGAATACCAAATAAGGGTGTTGATGTATTCATCGAATCATTATCTCGTGAGTATACAACTAATGATACATTTACACATCTCGAATATTTTGACTGATTGCAATAATTTAAACGATTGTTAAAGGTTTCAAATTCAAAAATGACAATTGTTGCATTTATTATTATGCCTGCAGCAACAAATTCTTTCAGCGATGAAACTCTTAGAGAACAAGAAAAAAGTGGCCAGCGGTTATCTGAAAAGGCATCGTGTTACATGGGTTAAATACATGATATAGATTCTCATCTTGTTTCCGTTAGAACGCAATAATAAATTCGTTATTTCTCATCTTAAAAGTGTAGCGGTTGAACAAACAGAATTACTTAGTACATGTAGTATGGAGGATAAAATGCTACATAACACACTTCCCCTGATCGTAACACATAATATGGCTGACGAGAACAACGATCTGATCCTTAATCAATTACATCACCTTAAACTATCTAATAGCCCATCGGACAGAGTGAAAGTGATATTTCATCCCGAAGTTCTAAATGCAAATAATTCACCTATTGGATTGGAATATGATGATTTTGAAGAATCAATTCAACAACTTACCAATATCATGCTCACCTTTTCGCAAAAAACACGTTCCAATCAACGTGATCGCACAACAAATATCCGACTTACTCGATTGGAAAATACTGGGAAAAGAGTATATACGAACAAGAAAGCTTGCCCTTCGTCGAACTTATCCAGACTCGACTGTTAATGGTAGTTAAAATCTTTGTGGCTTACAAAATACATGTAGAAAGAGTCTAGACCTGTGTTACCGAAAATTGCAAATATATCACAATGCAAGGGTGATATAAATCTTATAACGATAAGTTAAATTAGTATTATAAAAAGCTACTATTTTATTTTAATTAATATATTATAACAAAAATATGTATACTTTTAACAAATATTGAAACATTCGACAAATGCATTAAAATTTCTACAAGTTTAAGTTATTGCAGTCGGAACTCGTTATAATTAAAATCCATGGTATTAAAGTCATGTTATTAATTAAATTCATGTTCTTCATATAACGTTAAAAACATAAATTCGTCATAACACAACTAGTCATTTTGGTATATAACGGATAGTCCGAATCAACACTAACTGAAAGGTGAAAGAATGTTACAGATTCATGTACTGTACCCAATCTAGTATTAACCGTACAGCACAAATCTGTCGTTATCGTACAGTACGAAATACATGTATATGTATAAGAGCAGGTAGACTGACACAGGAGGTTCTTTGGAAAAACTTGTACATTTTATGAGAAATTGTTATATTGTGTCACAATCCAGTAATAACTAGCAAACTATTTTCTTCTACATGTGACAGGATGCATTAATAGACGTGATTAAAAAATTAAGCTTGGAAAAGTTCCCAGCGCACTAAAGAATACATGCTTGGATGCTTCTGCAATAGTGTGTGCCATTTCTTTTTATGATGTAAATTCTATTTGAGATCCATAACAGTTAAAAACGATTGTTTTTCAGATTTTTGCGTATTTGGAATTCTATGAACTAAGATAAAACTTTTTATTTTAATTAATTTAATAACCTAAATATAAAATAAATAAAATAAAATAAAATAAAATATAATATAATATAATAAATAATATATCTGATTTATATATTCAAATTCATAATTTATTGTTATCGTTATATCGATATTATTAAATTAAGATTTATATCTTATTTTTAATTTATTTATGTTATATTAATTATTAATTTTACTTTTACACCCATAACAATAACTTTCTTTTGGTTAGGTTTCACATTTACACCACAGAATATTAAAGAGAAGCAAGTAGTCTTTGTTGCTTAATCTCTCCACAAATAAACAAAGAACACCTTATTTTGAACAAAACTTTACAACATTATTCTTTGTTGAAATCCAAAAAAGTTCTAGTCCGCAATCAAACAATTTTTTCGACGCTTCTTTTATCATACTCGTCGCGAATAAAATATATAAATCTAGTTGACACGTGAATAGAAAATTTTTTAATTTTAACTATACACATGTACATGTAATAGGTCTAGATCTTACGCCGTGTTGATCATGTGTCTATGTGAGTTAATATTAACATATAAAACCGTACTTAGCTAACCTAATATGTCGATATTAGTATACTCATCTTGGAACTATTTTTCACGCGCCCTTTTCGTAGGATTAATAGACAATTGCTTGTACAATTTATTGTTTTCAGCCTTCATAAAACAGTACATCGTAGATAGCGATAGATACTCATTGTCGAGCAAAGATGGATCTTTGTCTTAATTTATTTTTTTACGCATCTGGGGCATGAGAATCATGAGAACTTAAAGTCAATCTGGTTAAAGATTATCACTATATATAATTCAATCCCACCTATGCACGTTGATAATGCACAAAAAAACATTAACAATATTCACAACAGCTAATAATGACAAATCAAAGAGGTTGATAGTGGTGAGCGATAGTTAATTATGAATGCTAAAAACTTATTTTTCTAAGAACATTTCATTTTCGCACAACCGGTTGAATGTGTTTTCTCACAACACACATATTTAATTGCATCATGAGTACAAACATTTGAAAGTTCAAAGATTATTCTCACTGCCCTAAGCTCCACAAACAAAAATGCAAACACGATAAATTCTCGCTGACTGCATTGATAATGCATAACCGCGTGAACATAGACAACATCCACGAATCAAAGCTTCACGTTTACGACGGTTAATTACAAACGCTAAAGAAAATTTTCGACCGGTTATTATGCTATTGGGTATGATTTCAGTTAACACACAAAAATTGAATATAGCATTCTAATATGAATATAATTTCGAAATAAAAATATATATCGATTGCATAAAGAAAGAAGAGAGATACAAAAAACAATATAAAAGACTTCACTTTCGACTTTTTTAAAACTTGCCAATTCAATGTGAACGATTTATCACCTGTTTATTCTCTTCGTCATCATTGTCCTCCTCTTGTTCGCTATATTACTAACGTACATCCTCTCGTAATTTGAACGTTTGAATTTTATCCCAAACGGTTCTGACCTTTAACGTGTTCGCCACACATTGGGTACTCTGCGAAGTTTCGAAGAATAGGCCGGAGGTCTACGTAAATCTACGGTAAGTTGATGTCTAGATTAGGATAATCAAAGGCAAAAAACACTAAAATTCTTTAAATTTTTGGATACTGGCATTATTCTTAGTTGAATTGGTCACCATGAGAAGGCAAAGCTAACGAAATAGGATATTGAACATGTTTACATATTGGTATTAAAAAAGAATTTCTTTTCTTCTTCACAACAAAGAATATAACTCAATCTTATCAACGGGAACCAGTCCTCAAAGTTAATGGCGCGGAATGGAGTGAATTGGGTTCATATTTTCGCGGCGCAAGGGGTCAATCAAATTGAACCCGCTCCGGAGCGGAGTGAAATTCCATTTAAAAACCCTACTCAAAGTTCCTCTACACATTTTGTGAAATGTGAAAGGCTATCAATGAAAATATCAAAAAAGTTTTTCTATAATCATATTTTAATTATAGTAAACATAATGATCGTGACAATTTTATGTAAACTGATGCTTTAATAAATTGATAAGTTTTAGAGTTTATTCAAGAAATTAGCAAAAACTTACTGTACACAAGTCAGCTCTGTCCATAATGAACTGATGATTCTATAAAAAGTTCGTTATATCAAAATTTTACTATATTTATACGTATAACGAACTCTTAGTATAAAGTTTATTGTTATCGTTATAAGTACATGTATCTACATATAAATACTTAATAGAAACTTACTACATGTATGTATATGTAAAAAGGCAATCTCACAATGTACATGTACTTATTTTCGGCACTATATGGTAATAGTTGTAAATAAATACGTCATATGACAAAAATATAAATTAGTCACATGAAAATCACATTTATTAAAGATAGTTCCAGATCAGTCCAAACTGGGACTTCTATGAAATCGGGACTAACATTCGTTATTTATAAAATTACATGCTATTTATTAGCCGGTGAATTATTATATTGTAAGTGGAAATGGAAGATTGGTGAATTTGGAATCCATTATGTGAATTAGAATCTTTCGACCAACACTACTAAGCCTTTACCCTTACTTTAACTCTAGTCGTGATTCCATATCCCGTCCCACATATAATATATATAAATATTTAATTAATTAAGCTGCAATATTAATATTGTAACTTTTTTGTTAGTTTCTCAGTGTTATTTAATATGGTATTTTGTTATGATATCACTTAAACTGTAAACGTTCGCAGACAAATTTACTTGCTAATTTTTGAATTTTTGTATTTTGAATTATTTTTTTAACTTAATTTAATAATTTTTATTTTTAAATAATTCATTACAAACTTAAACAAATTTAAAAAATCTGTTTAATTTAATAAATTAATTGGAATCAAAATTTAAAATATTTTACAAAATTAAAAATTATCAGACAATTTTTCTCATATTGCAGTTAAAAAGATACACATTCCTATAATAAATTATTGAAAATCGAAAAAAGTATAATCTGAATAGCTTGATTGCAAAAAAATCCACCAGGGCGACCCCCGAAAGTTCGGGCCACGTGATAATTCTTTGATGACGTCAACGATGCGAAAAGGGTTAG